GGGGGCACAGGCCAGCGTGGCCGCCGTGTGCCGCGGCCACCGCCAGCCCCAGGCGAGCCCGCATACCCGTGTCTGACGGTCTCGGCCGTTTGGAGACGTCGACGCCGTGCTCCTCTCGCTTCCTCTTGGCGCAGTCCTGACAGGCGTTACCTGGAAGGGGAACGCTAGTAAAAGCTGCCCGTGCCAGACGCCGCCCCCCAGGACTACTCATGTGCGGGACTGCGGGCAGGAAGGGGCTCCCCTCGAATGCCCAGGCCAGCCCTGGGTCGGACCCAAGCAAGAAGGCCAGTCTGGTGACCCATGCAGCCGCAGCAAGGGCTCCCCCGCCTCCCAGATGCAGCACGCTGCTCAGTCACCGCGTCAGGCAGCGGCTGTGCCACAGAGCCATGCTCTGCTGCCTCCAAGCCCGGTTCTAGCCTGAGAGGAAAAGCTGCTGGCCAGGCTGACCAGCCCTCCCGGCGGGCGGGTGGTCCTTCACCCGCTGGCACGAGGAGGGGGCAGACGGCCCGGCCGTGCCAGGGCACGCAGTGGCCGGGAACAAGGGACAGTGAGGACAAAAACACACTGGCGAAACTTTACCCAGCAACGTGGTGCTGTCCACTCGGTCGGTATCTGGGGAGGAAAGGAGGAGGTCAGGAAAGGAGAGGCCCTGCGCGGTGGGGCACCGTCCATGCTGCCGGGGCCGAGACCCAAGCACGCGCACTGAGACACAGGATCTCCGGCCGGCCCTGGCCGGCGCCCCACCATTCAGCAGGAGCAGCACCTCACAGGAGTGCGAGGGGACTTGGCCGCCCAGAAGGAAGTGCCGCCCAGGTAGCCTGTAAAGCCTCCGCTGGGCCTGAGGGGCTGCGGGGGCAGGAGGCGCTCAGCGAGGCCGTGGGGCCCAGCTCGCCCGTCTGTGAGGCCCGGCCCTTCAGGAAGTCAGGCGTGGGGTGGCTGGGCCGGAGGGCCGGGTGCTAGGGGCTGGCGGGGTGCACGGCCCGGACCCTTCCCTCGGCGCGGTCCAGTGCCCCACCCGGCTCCGTGCTCCCCAGGCCCGGACTGGGCCAGCCACTCGCCGCCTACCCGACACCTCAACCGGGCCGCCGGCGGCGGCGGCGAACCCCGCACCCCCGCGGGAGCGGCTCGGGCCTGTCTGCTGACGGTCTGTCCACAGGCACGCTGCTCGCTCACTAGCAATTCTGAGAACAAGTGACCGTGCGCTGGCGGTACCCGAGGCTCCTGCCACGACGCGGGACAGCGGGCAGCGCGCCCCTGTGCGCAGGCGCTGCCCTGGCCTGGGGCACTCCTGGCAGGGGCCAGGGCCCGGGGGCGCTGCGGACGGCTGGGCGGCTTCCCGCGGGCAGGGCAGAGGGGTGGGCCGCCCCTGGTGTCACCGTCTGCAAGGCGGGGCAAGGGTGACGGCCAGGACCTGGCCCGGCCGAGTGGCAGGGAGGCGGGGGCACAGGACACCCCCCGTCCGCTGTGGGAGCCTGCGCACCCACATCCTGGCACAGAGCACCCCAGGCCAGCGCCCGACCCCATGAGGCGCACGGAGGCTTTGTGAAGTGGCCGAGTGCTTAGGACTTCGGTCGCGCCACGCGTGGCGGCGCCCGCGTTCGGCTCGGGCCGGGAGAGCCGCGCCCCACGCACGGCGGGCGGAGACCCCACACCTGGGCTCCGCTGCTTGCAGATCTGGCTGGCCAGGTCCTGCACGTAGCCCGGGAAGGAGTCGAAGCGCCGGCCGTAGGACACCACCTTGATGCCGTGCAGGAGCATGTCGGCCTGGTGCTTGAAGAAGTGGTCCTCGCTCTCCTTCAGCACCAGCATGTAGTGCTCCAGCTCCACCCTGTCGGGCACCGAGTAGAGGAAGAGCGCCTGGAATATCTGGTCGCGCAGGGTCTCGCCACAGCCCACGAACAGGAAGGACTTGGTGCGGTACAGGTTCTGCAGGACCTCCTGGGGGGACACAGGAGCCGCTGGGGCAGCCGGCCGCACGCGCCCCGGCACCTGGGCTGCGCCCCTGGGCCGGTCTTCCTTCCCTGGGCCGGGCCCGACCCGGAGCCAGACCACGGCGCCACGAGTGCCCTCGGCGGCCCTGGGCGCCTCTCCCCTGGAGCCGGGTTCACAGGCCCAGACCCCAAATCCACACCCCGGGAGGTGGCGCCTCACAACGGGCAGCCCAGGCCTGCGAGTGCGGCCACTCAGCCACGCCGAGTGCTGTCTAACCTTCAAGCGGCACCGCGCCAAGTAAGGCATCGTTCCTGCAGCTCATACGCTGGCAGGGGGCCGCCTCGCTGCACGGACGGGCACTGGGCGAGGCAGGGCCGAGACGGCGCCCAGGGAGCAGGGGCCCT